TTAGATGCAAAAGTTTTTTGATTTTGACTTTTATAAAACTATCATAAAGTTCATAATATATACTACAATTATATAAAGTATTATATTTAAAAATTTTAGTATAAAAATTAGTATCAAAGTAAATGCAAAGGTAAAGAGTAACTTATGGATAATGGTCATAGGACTTAGGATGATATCTAAAATATAGAATAGAGTTTATCTATATATATATAATAAGATTTCTTGTACTTTATTATTGGGTTAGTTATTAGACTACAGGTTCAATAGAAATGGGTAGTATGTATAAGATGTTCTGGACTCAGTTAGTGATAGTTATATAGTTTATAATATATTTAAATGAGAAATGGTTTTTCACTTTTTACAGGCGATTCTGGTATCTATAATAATAGAAATTAAAAGTCTAAATTGCCTGGATTAAAGGAGAAAATGGTATCAAAAAATTAAAATTAAAATTATGAAATACACAATTTTGAGCTTAGGGAAATTTTCAGATAAAAAAAGTACAGGAAGACAAAAAAATACAAAGATGAGAATAGGATATTCTTGTTTTCTAGCCTCAATTACATAAGGTTAGATGATTTTGAAAGAGTGTCAATGTTAGATGCAAGAGTTTTTTGATTTTGACTTTTATAAAACTATCACAAAGTTCATAATATATACTAAGATTATATAAAGTATTATATTTAAAAATTTTAGTATAAAAATTAGTATCAAAGTTAATATATATATATATCTAGAGTAACTTATGGATAATGGTCATAGGACTTAAGAAGATAACTAAAATATAGAATAGAGCTTATGTATGTATATAATTGTTGTTCTTGCACTATATCTTTGATTTCATTAGTAGACTAGACATTCAATAGAAATGGGTAGTCTATATAAGATGTTCTTGACTTAGTTGGTGATAGGTATATAGTCTATAATATATTAAAATGAGAAAGGATTTTTCACTTTTTACAGGCGATTCTGGTATCTATAGTAATAGAAATTAAAAGTCTAAATTGCCTGGATTAAAGGAGAAAATGGTATCAAAAAATTAAAATTATGAAATACACAATTTTGAGCTTAGGGGAATTTTCAGATCAAAAAAGTACAGGAAGCAATAAAAATACAAGAACGAGAGTAAGATATTCAGTCTTTCCAGCCTCAATTACATAAGGTTAGATGTTTTCTGAAGAGTGTCAATGTTAGATGAAAGAGTTTTTTGATTTTGATTTTTATAAAACTATCATAAAGTTCATAATATATACTAAGATTATATAAAGTATTATATTTAAAAAATTTAGTATAAAAATTAGTATCAAAGTTAATATATATATATATCTAGAGTAACTTATGGATAATGGTCATAGGACTTAAGAAGATAACTAAAATATAGAATAGAGCTTATGTATGTATATAATTGTTGTTCTTGCACTATATCTTTGATTTCATTAGTAGACTAGACATTCAATAGAAATGGGTAGTCTATATAAGATGTTCTTGACTTAGTTGGTGATAGGTATATAGTTTATAATATATTAAAATAAGAAATGGTTTTTCACTTTTTACAGGCGATTCTGGTATCTATAGTAATAGAAATTAAAAGTCTAAATTGCCTGGATTAAAGGAGAAAATGGTATCAAAAAATTAAAATTATGAAATACACAATTTTGAGCTTAGGGGAATTTTCAGATCAAGAAAGTAGAGGAAGCAATAAAAATACAAGAACGAGAGTAAGATATTCAGTCTTTCCAGCCTCAATTACATAAGGTTAGATGTTTTCTGAAGAGTGTCAATGTTAGATGAAAGAGTTTTTTGATTTTGATTTTTATAAAACTATCATAAAGTTCATAATATATACTAAGATTATATAAAGTATTATATTTAAAAAATTTAGTATAAAAATTAGTATCAAAGTTAATATATATATATATCTAGAGTAACTTATGGATAATGGTCATAGGACTTAAGAAGATAACTAAAATATAGAATAGAGCTTATGTATGTATATAATTGTTGTTCTTGCACTATATCTTTGATTTCATTAGTAGACTAGACATTCAATAGAAATGGGTAGTCTATATAAGATGTTCTTGACTTAGTTGGTGATAGGTATATAGTTTATAATATATTAAAATAAGAAATGGTTTTTCACTTTTTACAGGCGATTCTGGTATCTATAGTAATAGAAATTAAAAGTCTAAATTGCCTGGATTAAAGGAGAAAATGGTATCAAAAAATTAAAATTATGAAATACACAATTTTGAGCTTAGGGGAATTTTCAGATCAAGAAAGTAGAGGAAGCAATAAAAATACAAGAACGAGAGTAAGATATTCAGTCTTTCCAGCCTCAATTACATAAGGTTAGATGTTTTCTGAAGAGTGTCAATGTTAGATGAAAGAGTTTTTTGATTTTGATTTTTATAAAACTATCATAAAGTTCATAATATATACTAAGATTATATAAAGTATTATATTTAAAAAATTTAGTATAAAAATTAGTATCAAAGTTAATATATATATATATCTAGAGTAACTTATGGATAATGGTCATAGGACTTAAGAAGATAACTAAAATATAGAATAGAGCTTATGTATGTATATAATTGTTGTTCTTGCACTATATCTTTGATTTCATTAGTAGACTAGACATTCAATAGAAATGGGTAGTCTATATAAGATGTTCTTGACTTAGTTGGTGATAGGTATATAGTTTATAATATATTAAAATAAGAAATGGTTTTTCACTTTTTACAGGCGATTCTGGTATCTATAGTAATAGAAATTAAAAGTCTAAATTGCCTGGATTAAAGGAGAAAATGGTATCAAAAAATTAAAATTATGAAATACACAATTTTGAGCTTAGGGGAATTTTCAGATCAAGAAAGTAGAGGAAGCAATAAAAATACAAGAACGAGAGTAAGATATTCAGTCTTTCCAGCCTCAATTACATAAGGTTAGATGTTTTCTGAAGAGTGTCAATGTTAGATGAAAGAGTTTTTTGATTTTGATTTTTATAAAACTATCATAAAGTTCATAATATATACTAAGATTATATAAAGTATTATATTTAAAAAATTTAGTATAAAAATTAGTATCAAAGTTAATATATATATATATCTAGAGTAACTTATGGATAATGGTCATAGGACTTAAGAAGATAACTAAAATATAGAATAGAGCTTATGTATGTATATATTTGTTGTTCTTGTAATTTATTATTAGCTTTCTTATTAGATTAGAAGTTGAATAGAAATGGGTAGTATGTATAAGATGTTATTGACTCAGTTAGTGATAGTTATATAGTCTATAATATTCTTAAATGAGAAAGGATTTTTCACGTTTTACAGGCGATTCTGGTATTTATAGTAATAGAAATTAAAAGTCTAAATTGCCTGGATTAAAGGAAAAAAATGGTATCAAAAAATTAAAACAATGAAATACACAATTTTGATCTTAGGCATTTTATTGTATTAAGTATTATTTGAGATATAATATAAAACATCTGATAATAAATTAATATTAAAGATATTTCATGAAAAGTATTGAGGAATTGAGAAAAGATATTAGATCTTTAATAAGACTAATAATTAAAAAAATAAAAGTAGGAAAAAAGATAGATATCTCAAATTATATTAAGAAATATAAGAAAGTGTTAAAGAACTTTAGAGAAATAGAATACGAACACTGCTTGAAAAAATTCAAAGTGATTTAACAAAATTGAATTCATATATTAGGATATTGATATATATATATATATATATATATATATATTTATATCTCAAGTGTTATGAGTGGTATGTAAAAGTTGATAATGTATTAAAACAATGAAATATTTTGCCTTTTTTACAGGCATATTTAGAATCTATGTAAGAAGGAATTAAAAATAGATTATGGCTGAATTAAAGTCGAAAAAGGTTTTCAAAAAGTAAACTAAGAGAAATACACAATTTTGAACTTAGGGACATTTTAAGGTATACAAATTACAGGAAGTTATAAACAGTATAAGACTAGAGTAACATAATCAGTATTTTAAGCATGCATTACATTAAGAAGCGCGATTTCTAAAGAGTCTTAATAACAAGTGATAGAGTTTTTAGATTTTGAATTTTATAAACTATCATAAAGTATACAATATATAGTATAACTCTCAAAAGTATTTTAATATATAATTTTTGTATAAGAATTAGTCTACTTATTATTATTAATGTCTCAAGTAACTAACAGTTAATAGTAACAGGACTAAAAAAGGAAGGTGACTTTATAATAGATAATTATGTATATATAGAGATATTTGTTTTTCTTACACTTAGTTGTTTTGTTTAATAATTTAGAGACTTTTATACAGTTTATAATATATTAAAACGAGAAAGCATTTTGCCTTTTTTACAGGCGAATCTGGTATCTATATCAATAGAAATTGAAAGTATGAATTCCCTGGATTAAAGGAGAAAAAAGGTATTAAAAAATTAAAATAATGAAATACACAATTTTGATCTTAGGGATATTTTCAGGTATCGAAACAATAGGAAGACATAAAAAATTACAAAATGAGAGCAGGATATTTCATGTTTTCAGCATTGATTACAGATAGAAAAATAAATTCAAAGGGTCTAAAGAATAAGAGCGCGAGTTTTTAGTATTTGACTGTAATATAATTATCATAAAGGATAACATTAAATTATTGAAAAGTATGAGTAGTTATTCATGGTAGTCAATTATAACAATATAGTAAGAGAATTAAATTGAATAACAGTTAAAAACTCTAAATATAGAAGAGAAGTAAAACAATTAGACACCTAAAGCTACTAAGCATATATCAAAAAAACTATAACATAATAAAGCTAGAATTTTATATTAATAGAAACCAAAAAAATTTCAAGAACAAATATGCGAAGAACAAATTGTTGAATAAACAATAAAAAAAAAAAAAAAAGTTACTGTAATATTTTGGTTTTATAATAGTTTTAAAATGTTAATGATGAGCCTTAAAAACCTTTATTTAAAACAGTTATAATAGTGAAAGAGTTTTAAAATTAATTTTTGGAGGTAGAAGAAATAAATTATGATTAACAACAATGAAAGAAATTTAATATATATTACAAAACTAAATCAACCATTATGTAGATATTTTTAATATAAAAAATTATAATTAACATCTGAATATAAGAATAACAATAATATTACAAATAGTTATTATAAATAAATACTACACAAAGAGAAAAAATCATAAACATCTATATTAAAGGAGAACAATTTATTAAAATTATAGAAAGTTACTTAGTAATTATCCCTGAATTAAAGGCGAAAATAGTATTGAGTGAGGGGGGGGGAAAAAAAGTTAAATAATATAAATTATCTTAACATGACATTTAAGAATAATAATATTTAGGATGATAAATTTTTAAAATTATGATTATTAACATGATATATATAAGATTGGGAAGAAATTTATAATAACAATAATTAAACACACCATCTAAAAATGAATAATTGGACTCAGGTTTAGTAAAATCGTAATAAGATGGATTAAAAGGCTTAAAATGAAGTAGAACAATAAGAACAGAACGGTTACCAAGATTTGGGAGAATTCGTTAATGATGGAATATGTTATAAAACTTACTTATATTAAAATACAAAACTATTAAAAGTTAGAAACGATAAGGATAAATTAGAATTTAATAGTGTTGATGAGATCAAACAATGGGTGGACAAGATGACAAAAAATAAAAAGAATAAGAAATGATCATTTAATGAAAATACACCATTACAAAAATCATATATCAAATTATATTTTTAAAATAACACATATATTCGTTTAGTTTTAGTTTATTTTAAATAGTTGTTATTAAATTAATATAAAATTATATATCAAAATAGGAGATACTAAATGTTATATTTGTTAATAAGGATAATTAGTTTCGCCTGAAAAAAAGGGAAATTAGAAGTTTGAGTCAATTAGTTTTAGATAATCAATTTCGCCTGAAAAAAAAGGGAAATTAGAATTTTGAGTCAATTAGTTTTAGATAATCAATTTCGCCTAAATAACAGGGAAAATAAAAATGTAATATTAATATATTTACTAATCTTCGCTATAAGAAAGAGGAGATTAACAAGTAATATTAATGTTGATCAAGTAGCTATTAAAGAAGATACAATTTGTTAAATAAATAAGATAAGGATATTCAACAGAGAGAAAGAAAAACAATAATAATAATTATTTATCAGATATCATTTCAACTTAAATCTCTTTGGTTACTCAAGTTTTTGATGCTAGGAATTCTGGTCTATAAGAGGACATTCTAAAGTATAGATTTTTTTTTTTTTAAATTTTACAATTCAAATGAGTAATCCAATTTTCATATTAATTGAGATCTTATTATTACTTCAACTTTGAAATCACCTAAGTACTATTGAGTTAATCTCTGATGACATGCTTCATCTACCTGATGGAAACAATTTCGAGGAATTATACAAATTACTTATCATGTTTATAATCCCCCTTAAGCTTGTTGATTAATGTCTAATAATCTTCATCAAAGGAACTTTCAAATACAAAAACTTTTATGTCTTTAGAAGCAATTGAACATCTCTACTTTAGAAATGTTGTGACTATTTCGGGAAGTTTTTCAAATTGCAAACAAAAAGTAACAAAGTTAAGGTTAGATTGAATTCGAAAGAGAAATTACTGATCATAAACTTAAACTTCATCAACAGTCAAGGTAAACAAAGAAGACAAGTTAATTTAGGTAAACTTGAACATGCTAAGGAAAAACCGAATTCGAATGAAATCATTATACTTATCCAAAGCACTCATAAATTTACAAGCACCTAATTAAATTTCAAATGAATAGATATCTGAGCATTTATCATTTTCAATTATAATATTAGATTTCAACTTTAATTTTTAAAATTACAATCCAAATTAAGATGTAAGCATCATCAAAGCATCTAAATTTATAGGTTTCTTAGAACCTACCTTTAAATTAACATATTATTAAAGACAAGAAGTATTCACTGTGCGAAAATGATGTTCATAAGCAAACTAATAAAATTCTGAGAATTCAACTTAATAAACTAGTTATTCTTATCGTGATAACTATTTATACAAAGGACTATAGGAAGAGAAAAGCTAATCAACATATTTTACATAATCAGGAGACCCTTTAGTGGTGTAAAGGTGCTGATGCAAGTGCTGATAATTCCAAAAAGAACGAGTAAGCATTCTTATAACTCTTCTCTACTACCACTGAAATAAAGTGTCACTTAAAATAATCATAAATACATATTTAAGAATAAATAGCCCTGTAAATCTCTCATGATCATCAGATTCCTCATGCTCACAAATTGAAGAATCAAAAGATTACTTACAGATGAAACAATATGAAGGGTTTTCTAAAAAAACAAATTTATGATTCAGTTAATCTGCGTTTTCTTCACCTTAACTGTTATCACTGCTTGATAGAGAAGATTCAAAGGAAGAACCGGAATAGGCTTAAGGCAAATGTTAATCCATTTGAATTTCTTAGTAAAATAAATGGTTTAAAAATTTGAACTCTTCGAAATTTATTTATTGTAATGTTAATTATTTTGATTATGGAATTATATTTATTTTCTTTAAATTTGAAATGAATAACTTTTTTATATCAATGTCATTATAGGTGAGAATAGGAAGTGAAAAAATAAAAAAAAAAATTACAGAATGGAAGGTAAAACAAATGCTTTTATGATGATAATATTAATAATAATAATAATAATAATATTAAAATTAAACATTATAAGACAAAATAAAATATTTAAAATATAGGGAGGAGAAATATTAGCATTAAAAAAAAAAAGAAAAATTAATAAAATAAAAGATAATAATGGAATTAAAAATAATTATATTAATTATCCAAAATACAAAATATTAATTATAGATGAGATAAAAAAGTTTTAATGAAATAGAACCGCGACAGGAAGAGGAAAAATCAATTGGAAATAATTCAAAAAGTAATATCAAAGATTAATAAGATGTTTTATAAGAAATTGAAAGGGAAAGTAGGATTTTAAAAAAGGTTTGTATTTAAAAATAAGATAATACATCAATTAATGTTAATGTAGCAGAAAAACTGGGAAATAAGGCCCAACAAAGACAGGAACAAGAGAATCTAACAATAAAGTTGAAATAACCGAATTAAAAGTACTAAACAAAACAACAAGTGATAAATCAAATAAATTACCTAAAAAATTATGTCACGAGTTTGGTAACAGACTATAAGTTAATTCCTAATGAAGTAAACAATGAGGAGCAAGTTATTTATGAAAACACCTTGATACAATTATTTAGATATATATATAAGAAGAATAAAAACGAGTTAAGTGAAGAGCTATTATTGAAGTTCAATACGGAATTTAAAAATAACCTTTACTATTCAATTGAAATATTGATAACATTAGCTTATAAAACTTAGTTGAAAGAAGCACTACAAATTCTTAAATAAGAGCTCGAGAAAGTGTCATTAATAAGAAACACAAAATTAGAATAAAAGTTACTATATCAACTAAAAATGGATAATGAAAACTTTGGTAATTTCTCGTTTTAGCTAATTGATGATTTAATTAGATTGGAGTATAAGTATTTGAGTTTTGTAATTTTTATGACTGCGTTTGGAGGAGTGTTACTGGAAGAGATAACACGTTTGAGTCGTGAATAACTGAGTTTTGATAAAGATTATTTGATTTGCGATTTTAAAAAGAGAAGACCGTTAAAATTGCAAATTGAAAGGTGTTGGATTCCTTAAAAGTTGTATGAATTTATGTTAGAACTTTCAAAAGGTGATTTTGATCATATATAAATGGAAGATTATCACCAAGCGGTCAGAATTATAAACTTTCAGAAATAGAATGCATTCAATATAATTATATCAAACACGAAAAATGATGAATATAAGGCTTATTTGAGTGAATTAAATTTTACAAAACTATTATTCTACTCAAATGAATTTTTTATCTTAAAGAGAAATGGGATATTGAAAGAGTAATTACTCTAATTACATCAAAATATTCCAGATGAAGAAATAGCAAAGATGAAATAACATAGATTGATATGATAATAATCATTTATTAATATAGAGAACACATAAATTATTCATAATTATTAATTAATTAATATATACATATATTTATATAGAAGAGTACTAAAGATGAATAAACTGAAGGATTAGGAAAAAGTTGTCTTTAATACGAAATGGATACTCAAAATAGATACTTTTAGAAACTAGATTTGCCTGAATAACAGGGGAAAATGATTATCTAAATTTAATAATAAAATACAAGACTGATTTTCTACATGATCAAAGGGGAAATGGATTATTAAAATAGACAGTTTTAAAACCTAAATTGCCTGAATTACAGGGGAAATAGATTCTAAAAACATACCAAAAAAAATAAAAAGACAGATTATATATATGATCACAAGGGAAAATGGATTCTTAAAATAGACAGTTTTAAAACCTAATTTGCCTGAATTACAGGGGAAATAGATTCTAAAAACATACCAAAAAAAATAAAAAGACAGATTATATATATGATCACAAGGGAAAATGGATTCTTAAAATAGACAGTTTTAAAACCTAATTTGCCTGAATTACAGGGGAAATAGATTCTAAAAACATACCAAAAAAAATAAAAAGACAGATTATATATATGATCACAAGGGAAAATGGATTCTTAAAATAGACAGTTTTAAAACCTAATTTGCCTGAATTACAGGGGAAATAGATTCTAAAAACATACCAAAAAAAATAAAAAGACAGATTATATATATGATCACAAGGGAAAATGGATTCTTAAAATAGACAGTTTTAAAACCTAATTTGCCTGAATTACAGGGGAAATAGATTCTAAAAACATACCAAAAAAAATAAAAAGACAGATTATATATATGATCACAAGGGAAAATGGATTCTTAAAATAGACAGTTTTAAAACCTAATTTGCCTGAATTACAGGGGAAATAGATTCTAAAAACATACCAAAAAAAATAAAAAGACAGATTATATATATGATCACAAGGGAAAATGGATTCTTAAAATAGACAGTTTTAAAACCTAATTTGCCTGAATTACAGGGGAAATAGATTCTAAAAACATACCAAAAAAATAAAAAGACAGATTATATATATATGATCACAAGGGAAAATGGATTCTTAAAATAGACAGTTTTAAAACCTAATTTGCCTGAATTACATGTTAAATAGATATTAAAAACAAATAGATGGTTATGGATAAAAATCAATTATTAAGACAAAAATTTTCAAAAGTAACAATGGTTTTTAATTTTTTGCTTATATTAGAGAGAGTTTTATTTTGTTTTTTTTGTTTTTCTACAAAATATGTAGGATTTTGTAGGGGGTATTTTTACAAAATAAAACAAGGAAAATTAAAAACGCTTGAATATTCCGAAATGTTTAATATAAATTTCATTAATTAAATTAACTTATTAAATTTTTGTGATAAAATAATGAAAAAATAGAATCAAAGCAATCAACAAAATAAAGGTAAATAAACTAATTTAACATTAGATATTGGACCATAAGATGAAGAAAAAACTACTTTTGGAGATCAAGGCCAATATTAAGAAAAATAAGAATTCAATTAAATTCACTCATAATTTGAAGTAAATCAATCAAATCACCAAAGTACACAATTTGAAAATAATAGAAATATGAATGCATAAGGTATAAAAAATTTACAAAAACTATTAATAGGTTATTATTTAGGTGAAGAAATGGAAATACCTTTTAGTAAAGAAGTTGAAGTTTAATTTAAAGATAATTAAGAGACAAAACAAAAAAACAGATAAATTCAATAAAGAATTGTTTAGGAAGAAGTTGAGGATAATAGAAGATAAAATTTGTTTATAAGTCAATAATAAGGTATTTTAGTTAATTGATTTTATAGATTTTCAAAGAAGAGTGTAACATAGTATTAGAGAAGAAATGAATGAGAAAATATATGAATAATCATAAATAGAAGTTGTTGTATTAAGTGATGATTAGAAAAAGTATTTTAAATTGTTAGAAGATATTTAAGAAGTAATTGAGAATCAATTATACATTCTTGATTCAATAAGTAGAGGATCTAGTTATGATTAATTATTGAGTAAGGTGTGGAGAAATTAGATGAATGCACTTACATAAATGCAAAGGTATGAGTTATACGATCATCTGAAGAAGTTGAAATCTTTAATAAATAAATTCAAACTCTTTAAATAAGGATTTTTTTTAAACTTAATAGAAGAAAAGAAGGATATTTGGTAATAAACAAAGTTAATCATAAATCAAATGAAAATAGATTTAGAGAATTTGAATGGGAATTTTGAAGTTTAATCACTATATGATGATTTAGAAAGAATTGTAGAAGATAAAAAAGCTAATATTTTCACTAATACACAATTGATTTATCGCTCTGCAAAGTTGGCAATTTTAGAGAAAGTTATAGAAATGATTATAACAATAACAGAATTCAGTCAATGGAATAATCACAAAGTCTTAACTTGCAAATTATGCAACTTAAAAAATTCTAAAGGTGATGATTTTTTCAAACATTTATTAAGTCACTTAGAATTTTTACATTTATTTGACGCTAATATGGGAAGATGTATTGATAAAAGTTGTACAACAAAAAAACAACATAAAAGCAAGTAATTTAATTTAAAAGAACATTTGTTAAACTTACATAGTAAATGTAAGCCAATTGAAAAACCTTTGAAATATTGTGAAGTTGTTGTAGGAGGTGAATATGGTGATAACTGGAAGTAATACTAATAATTTAAGAATGATGTTAATAGAATGTTTGATTTAACAAATAACGAATACAAAGTAGCTTTTAATTAACAATATGAATAAAATTAATAAAAAGGTTTGGCAAAAGAGAACCACTTTAAAATGAGATTGAGATAACATTTTAACTACTCTGATTAATACTTAGAAATTAATGATTTAGAATTAGTTGACATAGTGACAATATTTTTAACAACAACTTGGAGAAAGCTATTCGAAGATCCATTATAAATATTAGAAGAGAAGATTCCTCTTTACTTAAAATAACTATTTGCAAGTAGGAAAATGCCTTTTTATAATTAATAATAATAAATTTTAGATTAAATTATTAGAGGTTCACAATTAGAAAGTCTTAAATAAAGATTAATATTAGGATATTTTAATACAACTTACACATTTGGAGAACTAGAATATCTCATTACAGACTTGACAGATGGATTATTCAATATGGCTATTAGTGAGACAGTGTTAAATGGAAAATTCAAAAAGATAGGATAGAAGTGTATTTTTAATGATGTACTTTGCGACGACTTTTTTGATGATATAGAAACAACTTTATTACATTATTGCAAAGCACACTTTGGAGTTATAACATGTTTAGCAAATGATCATTGTTAGATGAATGCAAAGAATAGAATAGACATGTGGTTTGAACACTGTCACGATAATCACAAAGAAGATTTTGTTACTTTAACATAGAATTACTTAAAATAACAAAAAATATACTTTTAATTCAAAGCTATATGTGAAAGATGTAATGTACAAATGCAAAGTTTGACTGATGTATATTGGGGATTGGAACAAATAAAAACTATTTAATAATGGACTGTTAAGATAAATGTAAAATGGAGAGATTTAATGAAAAGTTATAATAAAGAAAGAGAATTAGAGGAGAATTATATGATTCAATATGAAACAGATTATGAAAAGTATAAATAAAAAGTATTAAATGAAATGAGGTTAAACATAACTAGGAATAAAGATGGAAAAGTAGCTATATGTAAGAATTGTTAAGGGAAAAAGTTGTTGAAGATGACACATTTAAGAAGACAATAATTTGAAAATTCAATTGGAAATAAGTTATTACCATTGGCAAGAATAGAAGGGAAGATTACAAAGACAGCTTCAGATACTTTTTATAAAGTAATTGGAAATTTGAATTGTTTAAAAGAAAAACCATTGATATTCTTTGCTGGAACTGATATAATATATAAATGGAACTCTTAACAAGCAAAATTAAGATTAAAATGTAAGTTGATGGACAAGAGTTAATCAGAGAGAAGAGACTATGTCAAAGCTTGTGAATAACATGGTTTTTTATAAAATCATACTTACAAATTAATAGACTTAACCTAATAATTGCTAAGATAAGAATAATAAATATTATAAATAAACAAGAGTCTATGGTTGAGATACTTAGAGAAGGAAAACATATCTGAAGCAAAGATTAAATTATAATTAGAGTTTGCAAAAATGTAAGACATGTTACTATTTGATGGTCTATTACACAGAACTTCGATTTTATTTGTAATAGCAAAAATGAAATAACCTTTTAGAAACTTTGCAGATAGTTTAAGAGACTTTTTATTTGAAGAAAAAATTTAGAGTCATAGGTTAAAGGATAAATGTATAGAATTACAAGTTTATTTTGAAGAATTAGATAATAATGAGAAAGTTTTTTGGGAAATAACTATGATGTGTTATTTAATTTGTGAACAAAGACAAGATGAATTATTGGATTTTTATTAAGATGATGAATTGAACACTTTACCAGAATTACTACTTCTTAATAGAGAATCAAATATATTTGGAGATTGGTTTAGAACTCATTACTTATTAGATATTCGCTAATTTATAGATAACGCAATTCATCCAATCTATTTAGGAACACTTTATCAAATAGCTTATTAGAATTTTGAGGGAAAGAATAGATTAAATAATAACTAAAAAAGGATGATTTAAGGAATTTTTCAGACATTCGGAATATTAATAACTGATGCATGTTTGCTTAATCACGGTTTTTCAGTTCCAAATAGAGATAATACTTACTTTTAACAAAAAAAAGATTAATTATTCAACTTAGAACAATATTTGTTATATGAAATGATTGATTTATTAGATGATCAGCAATTTATAGATATGTCAGGAAGATTAGCACTTGTTATAAAGGCAATAGAAGACGCAATGGCTGGAAGAGATATAGAAGATATTATGCCAAGCGATTTAAGATGGACTGTGCAAATGGCAAGCATCTTTATGAGTAGTTTAAAAGCATAAAAAACTTTCTTTAATCAAGGTGAAGACAGAGAATTAAGAAAAGAACACTTGAAATTAATGAAAGGTTTAGAAGATGAAATATAATACTTTTACTCTAGAAACTAAGCTACTTATAATTAGGATTTCTTGACTACAACATACAGAGAGATAATATAAAAAATTGTTGATAATGAGATTTTTCCTAAAGATTAAGATGGTAATCATTAAATAAGATAATTCACAAATGAAGAAATTAATAAATTATCTAAATATGAAAATATTAGGAAATTACACATTGTATTTTGGATACCTGTAGAACAGAAATTAAGGAATCTATTGAACGTACACAAGGTTATAAGAGAATTGGTTGATAAAGAACCATACTACTAAATGTCAAAGTAATACAATGTGACCTCATTCCACAAGGAGATCGAATATGCTATGTTTCCTCACTTATATCCAAATGCTCAAGGAGGATTAGTAACAAAAGTTCCTGAACCGAAGTACTATTAACTTATTGTAGATTTAATTGAATAAGAGAAGTTTATGGCAAATTACCATATAAAATAATTAGGACAAGTCAGATAAACTAATACAAATAATAACAGATAAAGAGACACAAGTTAAATAATCAACTCAAATGAATTAGATATTGAAATTCAACTAATAGATTTTAATGTAAAAGAATAGTTTGGAAATGTTACTTACAAACCAACAAAAGGAATTTACAAGTTTTTAAAGCAACCAATTATAAATGTGAATCAAAGTCTAGCTTATTTATTAGAAATATAATAATTAGCACCATTATAATATGAACAATAAAGAGTATAATTAGAACAAAGTAATAACAATGAATGGTAATTGCCTGAAATTATGAAAATATAAATCAAAGTAAACAATCAAATAGGAAATCAATCAATATTAGAAAATCATGTTTCTTTACATTTGGATAAATACTTAGCAAGATAATAAACAAGGTGGGATAATGAACAATAGTAATTCATAAGAAGGTAAGAGATTGAAGTAGAGAGATTAAAGAGACAAGGAAAATCAAAGGAAGAGATTGAAGCTTTTATGATTCTATAAAAGAAGTTACTTATAGAAACAACAATAAAGTAATTAGCATAAGAGAATTCATTGACAAGAGCATTGAACACTATTAGGAATAACAATATACTTCATATTGATAAAAGTATTACTACATCAGAGTCAGAAGATGAATTAAGGGAAAGAGAAAGACAAAATCAACAACAAAGAGCATTAAATTAAGTAAATGAATTCAATAGAAGAGTCTTAGATGGCATATAATAATAATAATAATAACATTAATAATAATAATAATAATAGTAATAACAATAGTAATAATTATAATAATAGGCACTTTAGAGATAATAATAAAAAGAATTAAATGAATTAATTGATTTAGATAAGATGAAAATTGATTTGAGTGCAGATACAAAGTTTAGATTAAAGTGTTCCTTTACTCAAAATTTCTAAAAAGATCATAATTGGATATTGTGGAGGTATTATGAATGGATTAAATCTCAATTTTATTGTTATGAGAAAATAGTTAATAAAGATAAAGGTGTTATGGTGTATTAATAAGGAGAAATGAAGAAATATACATCAATACCACCAATTTGTGGAAGCGAAACTGAATTATAATAGAGGTATAAAGAATTGAGAGCATACTGTTTCTAAGAAGGACCTCCATTAATGATGCTAACTATAACAACTAATGAATTTGATGAAAAGACATTTAAAATAATGAGAGGATTGAATTTCTTTGATTTAGAGAATGAAGATAGAGTGTTAAAAGCACAAAAGAAGATGACCAGAGACGATGACATTAACGATAATGCAAATTTATATGTCTAATATTATGTATACTTGGTTGATCACTTGATAAAGTCAATAAAAAACAAGCATTATAATCAACATCACCCATAGAAGAAAGATTGGGATAAATACGAAAATGGTTTATTTGGTAAATTAAAAGCTATTGTTAAAAGAATTGAATTCTAAGATAGAGGATCATTACATTTCCACATTCTATTATTCATGAACACAAACGAAGAAGGGTTATATGAAGAAAAATATTTATTATTTTTGAAAGGAATTCTATCTTGTTTAAGAATGGACAAATAAAAGGATGAAGAACTAGTTCAAAAGTATCAATTATTCCATAGATGCAATGCAAATAGATGTACAAAAGTAGATGACTTTAAATGTAGAGAAGGATTTCCATTTAAATTAACTTAAGGATATGTAAATGCTAATTATCCTGTATAAATTCAATAAAGAAGATTAAAAGAATAAGATTAAAATGTAATTGCTACTTGGAAATTATTAGTAAAGTACTTCAACTCTAATGTACAAATACAAATTACTATAAAGAAATTAAGAGAATTTAGAAGAAGAAGAAGTAAATAGAGAAGGATAAGAAGACAAATAACTATTAGAAGTAATAAGATAATATTACGAAGACAAAATAACTCCATTACAAGAAGCTTGTTTAGCATTTTAAGAGAAAAAAATAATGGAAGTTACTTATAAAGTTATCAAAATTAACTAAACTCCACTTTCAAGACAAAAATAAAACTTAAATGATATTATTGATAACTTATAAGAGAGTAATGTTCAAGAATTAATGTAATGGAGAAACACTCAGAATGTATGGTACCGCTATCTAAGAAGACCAATGGAGTTTGAAGAACTTAACATGGTAGAGTTCACCAGAATAAGCATAAACTACGGCAGGAAATCAAANTTTAGATTAAAGTGTTCCTTTACTCAAAATTTCTAAAAAGATCATAATTGGATATTGTGGAGGTATTATGAATGGATTAAATCTCAATTTTATTGTTATGAGAAAATAGTTAATAAAGATAAAGGTGTTATGGTGTATTAATAAGGAGAAATGAAGAAATATACATCAATACCACCAATTTGTGGAAGCGAAACTGAATTATAATAGAGGTATAAAGAATTGAGAGCATACTGTTTCTAAGAAGGACCTCCATTAATGATGCTAACTATAACAACTAATGAATTTGATGAAAAGACATTTAAAATAATGAGAGGATTGAATTTCTTTGATTTAGAGAATGAAGATAGAGTGTTAAAAGCACAAAAGAAGATGACCAGAGACGATGACATTAACGATAATGCAAATTTATATGTCTAATATTATGTATACTTGGTTGATCACTTGATAAAGTCAATAAAAAACAAGCATTATAATCAACATCACCCATAGAAGAAAGATTGGGATAAATACGAAAATGGTTTATTTGGTAAATTAAAAGCTATTGTTAAAAGAATTGAATTCTAAGATAGAGGATCATTACATTTCCACATTCTATTATTCATGAACACAAACGAAGAAGGGTTATATGAAGAAAAATATTTATTATTTTTGAAAGGAATTCTATCTTGTTTAAGAATGGACAAATAAAAGGATGAAGAACTAGTTCAAAAGTATCAATTATTCCATAGATGCAATGCAAATAGATGTACAAAAGTAGATGACTTTAAATGTAGAGAAGGATTTCCATTTAAATTAACTTAAGGATATGTAAATGCTAATTATCCTGTATAAATTCAATAAAGAAGATTAAAAGAATAAGATTAAAATGTAATTGCTACTTGGAAATTATTAGTAAAGTACTTCAACTCTAATGTACAAATACAAATTACTATAAAGAAATTAAGAGAATTTAGAAGAAGAAGAAGTAAATAGAGAAGGATAAGAAGACAAATAACTATTAGAAGTAATAAGATAATATTACGAAGACAAAATAACTCCATTACAAGAAGCTTGTTTAGCATTTTAAGAGAAAAAAATAATGGAAGTTACTTATAAAGTTATCAAAATTAACTAAACTCCACTTTCAAGACAAAAATAAAACTTAAATGATATTATTGATAACTTATAAGAGAGTAATGTTCAAGAATTAATGTAATGGAGAAACACTCAGAATGTATGGTACCGCTATCTAAGAAGACCAATGGAGTTTGAAGAACTTAACATGGTAGAGTTCACCAGAATAAGCATAAACTACGGCAGGAAATCAAAATATTTAAAGAAGTAAGATAGAAGATTATAAGTACTTTTTAGACTAAGATGGATGTAGTCAAAACATTATTACACTCAAGTGCAGAATACTAAGGAGAATTCAATATATATTACTTAGAAATGCTACAATTATATTGGCCTCATAGATATTAAGACTGGATGAACATGACAAGAGATGAACAAACAGGATATAAAGAAGCTTATGACATATTATTGGAGAATTATGACTATAAAAACAACGATACAAACGCAATAACAAACTATTTTAGATAAAAGTATTGTTAATTCAAGTCCAAACCTTTAAAGAAGTATGTAGAATTACATAATTAAATAAAAATTAATCAAAAGAGACAATTAGAAGTAATGTACAGATACAGATTTAACTTGAATTACGGAGATCAGAATCAAGAGAATATACAAAGTACTGATTTTATATTCTAATTAAAATAACTAATAAGATAGCAGATAGATTTAGATTTAGGGTATTGGAGAGTATAACAAATAAAGGAAATACTAGAACTATTTAATCCATAAATAACAAGTGCAGATGAAGAATTATTAAATAAAGCAAATGAATTATTGCAAGATTTAACAGCAGAAGTGAAAGATTTTTGGAAAGAATTACCTCAAAACACTAGAAATATAATAAATAGTTTAGGATAATTATACAAATATTACGGATGCTCATAAATAAGTGATGAAATTACAAGAATAAATGATAGAAGAGTGGTAAGTAAGTCAAAAGCAAGCGGTAAGGAATTATATTAATCTTAATCTTTATTAAATAGGTAACAAGAAGATTCAAAAGCCTCGTAAAATGCTATATCTGAAGAAATACCAGTTCAATAATTATTAGAAGAAAAGTTAGAAGATTTACATCAACAATACGAAAGTCATTATAAAAACAAGTTAATAGTAGATGAATATAATAAAATAAGAGTATAAAAGAGATTAACAAAGTGGAACTTGAATTGGATTGATAATAACTTAGTGCAAAGTTACGAAAATCTCAAAATTTAACAAAAATTAGCTTTAATAATGATGATTTTGAACCTTTCTATGACTTTCAAAGAAGAAGAAATTGATAGGAAGTACGAAGGAACATTCATACATGGTCCAGGAGGAGTTGGAAAGTCTTATATCATCGCAACAATGGTATAATTTGCTCAGAATCAAAATTTATGCTATAATATACTGTGTCCAACTTAATTTGCAGCTCAAAATGTGATGTTAATGTGTTAGAAAATAGGACTAAAGCAAGCAAATGTACAAACTATACATAGTTTCTTCTATTTAACAATGAATGAAGGGATAAAATCACATATGCATGCATTTAAATCACATTTAGCAAAATAAGGTGTATACAATTTTACTTCAACTACAGAAATATATCAAAAAATGATCAGATTTTAGTTTATTAACTATCAAAAACTAATTAAAATATTGAAGAGTATAGATTTAATAATGATTGAAGAGGTATCAATGATGGATCCTGACTTTTTAACATTATTAGACATATATAGTTAAATTGCAAGGTAATGTGCTTATCCATTTGGTGGAATACAAGTATTTTTATTCGGAGATTCTTTCTAACTATAACCAGTGATGTCAGGAAAACACAATTACTTTGATTCACATATATTCAAAAGTGGTTACTTTAGTCACATAATAGAACTAACAGAAAGTGTCAGGTAAGCAGAAGATCTGGATTATTTTATTAATATATTATAGCCAATAAGGTTCGGAACCTTTGGAGAAGATGCAAATAACTTTTATACATAAATGAAGAAGCTAGAAAAGAGAATAATCCCAGAAAACATATTTGGAGCTAACTAAAATGTAAAATAGGATTTAGTGGAGAGACAGAAGGAACATTAATAGATTATTTCACTTTATTTTAAGAACGAGAATGTTCAAAATGAGAGTCAGAAGAGAGCTTTAGAAATAATATAAATAATAGATGAAAAAAGAAAGAGAAGAGGTTAAATAGATAAGAAGAGATGGAGACAATACATGAAATAGCCTTTACAATTCAGATGGACTAACTAGAAGACAGAAGATGATAATATGGCTCTATTACTAGGTCAGTAGTATCAATTTAAAAAGGAGATTTATGAAAACAACTTCAATCATTAGTCACATTACTTAATGCTACCAATTGGAATCAGAAATTACGTAGCAAAGGCAATGGGTGAAGTGGCTTATCGAATGGCCATCAAATAAGGAGATATAAATAAAGCAATTTACTTGAAAGAGTTGATTTTATTTGAAAAAGAAGAAATAGTTATTAGAAAAAACATAGAGAAATAAGAAAACTTAATAAATGGGCAATTTGCAACTATATCAGATTTAATTTTTGATGTTGATTTCATGAATCCATACAATATGAGAGAATTTGAGAGAGAATAATTTAATTATATTAGATAAAGAAACTATTATAACATGATTGAAGAGATAGAAATGAAGGATATCATCAGATTTTCTTAAAATGATCAATTAGAAATGAATAAAATTTTAGAAAAAAATGGTTTAATGAACATAAATTACTTAAATGAATTAGATATTCATTAAAGTGAGAAGGGAATGTTGTATTTAAAGGAAGTAGAACCGAGGTTATAATAAATAAATTTGAAGATAAGAGAAAAAAATGTTACATCTTTAGAGATAGGAGATAGGGATTTTTCAATGGCGATCAATTTATAGAAGTCAGATATTATGAGAACACTAGAAGAAATTGAAGAATCACTTGCAAATACATATGAGTTTGTAAGGAGAACATTATAATATAATCCACAATGGTCACAATCAGCAAAGAAGATAAGATAATGGCTAATTGACAGTCAAGAAATGGATTTATTTGGAATAGATTATCTAAATGGACATTTTTGTTTAGAATACTTAGAAAGAAGCATCATTCACATGAAGTTTATGATATAGAAACTACCAAATGTTTGCAATGTCTAAATATCATAGCTTCCAATAAACATTGGATATGCTAGAACAATACATTGTGCGTAAGGTTCAACCTTCGACAATGTTATTATGGATTTGGATATGCCAGAAAGATAATAGTCAGGATTACTCTACACTGCATTGAGTAGAGTCAGAAAGATAAGTAACCTGTTTCTTAATGGTAAGTTGGATTAAAACATGTTTAAAGTCAGAGTTTCAGAAGAAATAAAGAAGTTTTATAGAGAAAATATTATGGAAGTACCAAAATACTTACAGAACAACGATTTACAAGAGTTGTTAAACAAAGATATTAAAGAAATATTAAGAATTATCAACGAAATAAGCTCTGACTTGAGACAAGGATTGATCTAACTGAAATAAGAATAGGTGAACATAAAAAATCATTGATTTATTATCATTCATATTAGTGCATTATTCAAATTATTTTTATAAATTTATTTTTTTTTTTTTTTTTTTTTTTTTTTTTTTTTTTTTTTTTTTTTTTTTTTTTTTTTTTTTTTTTTTT